CCACTGTGGAGACAGCCCACCCTACGCCGCCCCTCACCCCCGCCCGACAAAATAAAGAAGAAAAAAAAACTTGCGTTCGGCATCCAGGGACAGTGCGAGGCTCCGAGGCTGCCTGGCCCGCCGAGTTGTTGCCTGGTGACCCAGTCTCACACAAATCTCAGAACAGCAGTGCCCCACCTCCCTGGTCACCAAGCAACAGGGCCACGCCTTCTGCCAAACACCGCCTGCAGCCCCGCCAAGGACCACCCCCGGTCCCCCGGGACCCCTGCCCGGTAGGCGAGGTGCCTGGGCTGGAGGACAGAAGCCCACGCCCCCACTGTGCAGAGGTGGAGATTGAGGCCGAAGGGGCGGGACCAGGGCATCCCGTTGTCCCTGAGTCCCAGGGGTGCGGCTGGGTCGGTGATCTCGCCCTCCGGACTCCCGGAGCCACGATCCGTCCCCTCGCGCGCGCGTGGAGCTCCCACGTGGAGATCCGAAGCCTCGCGGGCCCAGCAGGACCAGTCCCGCAGCGCTGCCCGCTCCCGTCCCCATCCTCCCGAAGGGGAAACTGAGTCCCCGAAAGCCAAGCTCCACGTCCCCTCGCTCTCCCCTCCGGGTCTCACCTGCTGCTGCTACCTCGCGCCCTGGTTTCCTGGAGTTGAGCGGCAGACAAAGGCCTCCAATCCGCGCGCGAGGCGGGGCGCGGCTGCTTTGCATAATGCCCGCAGCCCGCCCGAGACGGCAGAGGGACAGGCTCCCGGGGACGGAGCTTCTGCGAGATCCACCAATCGTCGAGAGGCCGGAGGCTTCGCCCCGCCCCCGACTTTGATTCTCAGGCTAAATAGGCTGAAATCTCAGATCTACTGGGCTGCATCTTCCTGTGCGAGCCTGCCCTGACGCAGAAGGGGAAACTGAGGCCCGGAGAGGACGGTATCTGTGTGGGGGATCTATGGAGACGCCGTGAGGAAGGAGTCACCAGGTTTGAAGAGGGAGACCTGCCGTTCAGTAACTGTAGTGATAAATTGTGCGCTCCTTGTGCGGTGTTAGGCTCCTGTGAGGTAGGCGGGGTTACTACCCGTCTTCTGGCCCCGAGGCCAGAAAGAAGGACCTGGAAATGTAAGCCAGAGAGGGACGAGGTAGAAATAATGTCTTCCACCAAAGCCACCTCGAACAGTGGAAATGTGGAGTGTCAGACTGGCCTGGGCCCCTGCTCCGGTTCTGTTTGCTACTTGCCGGTGCAGAACAGCAAAACTTCGAATTCAGCACTGCTGCTTCTGGGGGTGCAGAGGGGTGCAGAGACACATGGCGTCAGCCCCACCAAGACATTAATCTATTTAACACCGGCCCCACTGCCGCTGTGTCTCAGCCAGATGTGTCTCCGCGTGCAGATGGCTCTCCCATTGTCTTACTGCCGGACGCTCCCCACACAGCCAACAGTGGCAACTCCAGCACTGGCTGGCTGGCTTCAGCCACCAAAGGACTACTTGGGTGTACTGGGCAGAAGTCTCCAAATTACGTCAGCATTGCGCTCTGCATGTAAAGATGGCAGACAGCTCAGAGAGGTTAATTGGCTTGCCCAAGGCTACACAGCTGAGGAGCAAAAGGAGTAGAATCTGAGGAAGTATAGACTCATCACCTGTCTGTGCGCCCTACATCCGGCCACCTCACCTCACACCTCACTTTCTTCCACAGAGAGCTGCAGGTAGCTTACAGGCCAACTTGGCACTCCTTTGGGCAGGCCCGTATTGCAAGAACCCAAAACTCTCCCTCTGCTAGGCTTCCTCATCAAGTTGTGGCAGGAAATGTCGGAGTAGGAAAGGCCCGCGTGCATACCGTCGTGGAAGAGAGCTGACCTGGTTAGATTTTATTGCCAATTTGACACAACCTTGAGTCACCTGGGAAGAGGGAACCTTGCTTGAAGAATTGCCTCCATCACATTGGCCTGTGGCCATGTCTGTATAAGATCATCTCCACTGATGATTGATGTGGGAGGGCTAGCCCACTGTGGGCAGCACCTTCCCTAGGAAGGCGAGCCTGGTTGTAGTAGAGCAAGCCAGTCAGAATGGTCCCTGCATCTGAGTTCCCTTAAAGATGGGCTGTAACCTGTGAGATGAAATAAATCCTTTCCCCCACTACGTTGTTTTCCGTCTTGGTGTTTATCACAGTGACAGAAATGCAAATTAGAATGTGAGCTACACCCCCGGAGCAGAGCAGCATGGAAGTCCCCTTTTGAAAGGTTCTGAAACAGAAGGAACAATGAGACTTAGCGAGGTGTATCACCTGCCGGAACCTGTCAGGGTTCTTCAGCAGGGATGAGCCCCTCTGAGACTCTCCAGCGATCTACTCCTCATCGTTGACACCACAGAGAAGATGTCAGCGAACACATACACATGGCTGAGGTGGACATCTGACTCCTCCACCCCCCACCCTACTGAATCCCTCCCAAGACACTAGTATGGATGTCTATCCTGGGGCTCAGGCTGCTGAGGGTCTGAACTCGATCTTCCTACGTTCACTGCCAAGGAATTTGGAGATTTAAATTACACTGGAAACCGGGCCTGGCTGCAGGCACCGGAGAGGCTGAGGCAGCAGGATTGAATGTTCAAGACCAGCCTGGGCTACAAAGAGACTGTCTCAAAAAGTCTAAAGAACTGGGGATATAGCTCAGCTGGGGTGTTGCCTCGGCCTGAATTCAGTCTCCAGTACTGCAAAAATGAGTGAATGCAGTTCCCTTGGTATTTGGAATGTAAAAACCCATTAGGAACACTCCAGTGGACCCCTCCAACAGAGCCAGGCTCAGGAATTCTGGAAGCAGCTGCACCAGAAACTCATTCTTACCCTACCCTTTTGTGGATTAGACTTGGGGCTGTGGAGCTCTGTCCTCAAGGGGTTGGACCAAGTAGGGAGCTGGTCAGTTAGGGCCAAGACAATGTCTCTGCCCTCCAGGTCAAACAGCAGTCCAGTGACCAGCCTAAGATCTCCCAGCCAGCCAGCAACAGCCTGGAAGCTCCGCATTCAGGACAAAGCACGAGAATCTGGCCCAGAGGAGGTAGGGCATTCTTCTGTTTCGGTCACACAGAATCCCATGGGCAGGGCCTCCCTGGGCCTGTGGCTGTTACCACGTGGCTACTGGACTTGTTAACACTTCTTGTGCATTTCTGGGCTCCAGGTGTGGGGATCTGATCACTGTTGGCAGGGCCGTGACTGAATCTACCTGTGCATCTTACAGGCAGAGAACCTGAGCACAAATCACCTGCCACACTTCCTCGGGAATTGAACTGAAGTCTGGTGTCAGGAGCCCTGAGCCTGGCAAAGCCCTCTGTAGTTGGACAGGGGCTATTCCCTCAGAGAAGTGACAGACCTTACAGGGAAAGGAAGGAGCAGCCATGATCCTGAGAGGGGCTGAAGCCTTGAGTGGACTGGGTGGGTACCAACTGCCTTGGGAGAACCATGGCTTTGGTTTCTGGTGGTCTGCTTGGGTTTGAAAGAAAAGGATGGTCACTGAGACTTAAGCCTAAATCATTGCTAGAGATTTAGAACCCGGGGTCTTGCAATACAAATGCTTTACCACTGAGCCTCACTCCCGTCCCAAGAGCAGGATCTTGTACAAGACCGTGGGACAGATGGCCCCTGCCTACCTCAGACAGAGCCCTGGACCTTCTGGTAAAGGGCTTGCCACACCTCTTTCCCCCAGACATCATAATGGCAGGAGGAAATGGCTCTTGGGCTGGTCCTTGGGCAAAAGGCCAAGCCGAGTTTTGCTGCCTTCTCTGCATGACCCTCTCTCTCCTGTGTCTGATTCTAATCCCCACTACCCTTGGATGCTGGAGCAGATGGGCCCTGTCAGGAGGGAGAGCAGGAAGAGCCCAGGATTCCACTACCTTGGCTGTGGGCCTTGTCCACAGAGACAGTGAGGCGCATCCATCCCTGGCCCTAAGTGGAAACAGTTCTTTAAATAGCTCTCAGTCTCTGCACATCCAGGATGCTGTGTGATGAGGCTGAAGGTGCCCTTTGGGAAGTAGAAGATGAGCTCTGGGAAATAGAAGGTGCCCTGCGGGATGTATCGTGTGCTGTGGACTTCTCTTTGTCCTTCCTTAATGAGTCACTTTCCTATAAATCTGGGTTACAGAGTTGGCTTCCTGGATTGCACACAAGATGACCAGTCTGGTGTGTGTGTGTGTGTGTGTGTGTGGTGTATGTATGTACTCATGTGTGTGCTAAAGCATGCCTGTGTGGTGCAGGTGTGTGCTTGTGCCCATGTACGCACGTGGAAGCCAGACCTCAGATGCTATTCCTCAGAGTCATTCCTTAAGACGCGCTCTCTCACTGACCAGAGGCTTCCTGATGGGGCAAGTCTGGCTGGTGAGTGAGCTCCAGCATTGCCCTGTTTTTTTGCCTCTCCAGTGTTTGGATTACAAATGTAGGCTACCGTGTCTGGCTTTTTATATTGGTTCTGCAGATTGAACTCAGGTCTTCATGACTGTAGGGTAATTTCTTTACTGACTAAGCCATTTTCCCAGCCCCAAGGTGTGTTTTTAAACCTTCTGCCCATAGCATATTCTATCTGGGAGCATACCTGTGTGCCCTAATTTTTTTTTTTTTTTTTTTTTTTTTTTTGGTTTTTTGAGACAGGGTTTCTCTGTGTAGCTTTGCGCCTCTCCTGGAACTCACTTGGTAGCCCAGACTGGCCTCGAACTCACAGAGATCCGCCTGGCTCTGCCTCCCGAGTGCTGGGATTAAAGGCGTGCGCCACCACCGCCCAGCTGTGTGCCCTCATTTAACAATGTTAACTTCACACTACTTAAGCGAATTCTGCCCTCACAGCTTCAGTCAGGTCCTCCAACAGGCAGGTGAGCCCCAAGCCGTCTGTGCCCCCCGCACCTATCCCTGACTGACCAGCTGGTGTTCAGAATTCGGCTGATAGTGTGTGACAGTCTGGGTGCCCACCCCCTCCCATCTCCACACAATGAGCAATCCAAACCCTTGCCCACAGGCGACAGCATAGCACACTGGCCCCCAACCTTGTTCAGATTTCTTTATTGAAAAATTAAAGTCGTAAGCTCTGTATATAAATACACTGACATTGCTGGTTGCCTGCAAGGCCTCTGGGATAGGCTGGGGGTGCAAAGGGGATCTGGGGCCTGGGGTCCCCTGAAGCGCAGGAAAGGAAATAAATAAATACCCTAGGGACACTGAGCTAGGAGAAAAGGGGTGCGACTGGTGTGAACAGGCGTGCTGGCGGCTCATTTGTGGCACTGAAGGTCCCCCGGCAGGGAGCAGTCCGTGAACTCTCCTGTGACCTCATAGCCAAAGACCTAGGCATCTGGGGGTGGCAGCACCCCCATCCGGCCCAGAGAAAGGTGCTCTGCCTTCCTTCCCTTCGCTAACGCAGTTTTATTGAGCTCCTACTGTGTGTCTGGCGCACAGATTTGGACCTGACTCGTTGCTTGCCCTGTCTGGTTCTCTTTTTCTCCTAATCTGGGCCAGGGGACCAGGCAGGGTATATGTGTCAGGGTAGGAGGGGGAGTCTGCCTGTGACCCTGTCCTATAGTCTTGACCTTGACCCCACCCCTAGAGCATCACGTTGAACTCAGTGACCAGGAAGTCGATGTAGTCCCTCTCTTTGGTCTTGAAGGCCTCGGCGATGATTCGGGCAGCCTCTTTGTGCTCCTTACCCCGAAGCGTCAGCCCATTCACTTCCAGAATCACGTGGCCCACCTTGAGCTGCCCGCAGTTATGGGCAGAACCTCCTCGCTGCACAGGGAGACAGAAGCAGGGGTCATGTGGGTACCTGGTTTTGACCACCGGCAGAGATAAGCAGCTACGTTGCCAATCTAGAGTCCACAGTCCTGGCAAAGTTGGGCTCTGCAGAGCGAGAGGAGGCAACTTCCTAAGTTCTGGGCCAGCATGGAGTGGGGGTGGGGTGGGCGGCCATGTTCCTGCTAGTCTGCCCAGGCAGCCCAACACGTCAAGGAGCTTGCCATTCAAGAGGGGCACTGGGTCTGTCTTCAGGTTTGATGTCCCCTCTGGGAGGCAAATTCTGAGGGTGCTGAGAATGAGCTCTTTAAGACAGGGGGACTTCCACAAGGGGAACCTTTGAAGACCTACCTGAATTGTGACAATCCTGGGCAGAGGCTGGCGTGTGTTGGCACCACCCTCAATGGCGATGCCCAGTGTGGCTGCACTTTTCCTCACACGGACTAGAGTGGATGTTGGCTCCAGGAGGCCAGGCTGCAGGTGGGAGAAAGGCGGCCTTGATGCTTCTCAGTGGAGCACGGTGGGAGCCTCAAATATGACGTGGACTAAGCTAAGTCTTTGGCTTTTTAATAATGCCCAAGGCCCAGACCACCTGGTGGAGTGGAGACTTGGAATCCCAGGCCTGACCTTAAAGACAACCTCAGCTACCATGCCACACTAGAGTGTAGAACAGCTGCCAGCCCTTGCCACCCAGGATCAGGGCAAAGAGGGACTCCAGATTGCTAGCACAGTGACCCTCTGGATCACTCCAGCAATGCCTCCTAAGGGCCACGTGCTACGTGTCTCCTGATTCCCAGGACCTGCCATCCTCCACCAGGATCCTACGTGCACTCCCCCACTCACGGGTTTATTGGCACCCTCTGTGGTCCTCTCCGTCTGGGGCAGCTCCTTGCCACTCTTGCTCTTAGTGGATGCTGTCTGTCTGCCTCGGCCTGAGGTGCTGGCCTCTGTCTCCCCAGCGTCCACGCCACTGTCCTCACTTAGAGTCTGCCCGCTGTCTGAGAGCTGAGAGAGTGTGGAGGCTGCTGGGGACAGACAAGGGAACAGAAGCAGTCATGGAGGGCCACTTGCGGGGAGGTGATGGGGCTGTGGACTGGATGGCTATGGAAACTCACCATGCAAAGATGAAGGGGAAGATGATGGGACACAGGGGCTGGAGGGCCGGGGATATTCCCTACAACATTCCCCATCTCCTGACCACCTGATCTGCCAGCAGGGCCAGGCCCGACAGTCACTACATCCGGGATTTCTGCCCAGATCCCTAACCACTGGCACAAATATGAAAATAGAGGTTAATGGGCCAGCCCAGCTCACAGAAATGGGTTGTTGCTTTTGTTATTCAAATTCACATAATGTCAATTTTTAATGATAGGTATTTGAATTAGGAGATTTTTTTTTAAAGGTCACAGTTACACAAGAATAACGTGGAAGGTCTACCACCCTGCCCTGTACCCGCCCCCCCCCCCCCCCCCCGTGACCACCCTGATGTGAAGTGAGTGGTGGGTATACATATCCCATTCTCTAGCCTATCCCATTCTCTAGCCAGCAAAGCTGCTCCATTCTGTGCGTGGCCACTGAACCCTGAGCTGGAGGCTCTTGCTTAAGAATGTGCACTGTGAGCCGGGCCCGTGGTGGTGCACGCCTTTAATCCCAGCACTCTGGAGGCAGAGGCAGGCGGATCTCTGTGAGTTCGAGGCCAGCCTGGGCTACAGAGGAGTTCCAGGAAAGGCTCCAAAGCTACACAGAGAAACCCTGTCTCAAAAAAAAAAAAAAAAAAAAAATGCACTGTGGATCCTGTGTGTTGGGTGTGAATGCCCCGGGACCAGCTGCGCAAGCCTGGGTGAGTGATACATCATCTCAGAGCCCACCCCCCCACCCCGCCTTGTTCTAACCCTGGAGAGTGACGCCTACATAGTAGGGTCATCTCAAAGACTAGTGCACAGGGAGGAGCAGTGGAGGGAAATAGAGACCAATAATGCTGGCACAGGGCTGGCGGCGGGACTCCATGAGTGAAGGGCAAGAGGGCCAGCAAGGCTTCCGGTCATTCCTGGCTCCCACCATCCCCTGCCCAGCATCTCTACAGAGGCCTGCTTGCTCTTCTCACACCTGCCAGTTGTTCCCCAGGGCAGGGTCACAGTGTTCAGCATCTGTGCTTGTGGCCCCAAGTCCCCTGACCCTGCCTGCCCTTTCCTAGGCTACCTCGTGGGGTGGTGTGTAGCACTTCAGCCACACGATGGCAGCAGAGCCTAGCTAACTGCTGGACAGCCAGGGCTCCCTCCATATCCCCATTGGGCATTCCTTAAAAGACAGGGGCCCCAGCCTGGCCGCGTGCTGCACTCTGACTTCTACACACCATCCAGAGGTCCTGTGACTGGGACTGTCATACCCCTGGAACCCAGCACCTTCTTTCTGCCAGACTGAATGGTCAGGAACAACCAACGCCAGCCCTGCCCTCCCAAACAGTCTTCCAGAGGACGCTGTGAGATGGACGCAAGGTGTAGGAGTAGGAGACCCCTAACTCCACCCCCACATAGACCCCACCCAGTGACCTGGCAGTGGCTACTCCACATTGCCAGGGGAAGAAGGTGCCACTCATTCATGGTAGCTGTGCAACCAATAACTGGTCAAGGGCAGAAGTGGGACCCAAACTCAAATCTTGGCTTCAGGCCATCTTCATGCTGACCTTGAGCCAGACCGCATGCATGCAGGCTGGCAGACCCTTCTGCAGCACCCGGACCCACCAATCGCGACAGGAAGAGTGACTCTGGGGACCAGAGACCCCCCCCCCCCCCTCCTCCCTGTGTCACAGAGCTGGGCAGCCATACTCACTGCGTGTCTGGGGCAGAGCCCGCACTTCGTTCACATCAGGCTCGCTGTCCGGACGGTGTACCTCCACCAGGACGAAGTGCTGGTTTGCACCCACAGGTTCGGGGTGGTCAGAGGGCGACGGTGGCGGAAGGCAGGACCCAGCCCCCGGGGTCTCTGCAGGAGGAGGGCTCTTCAGGTGTGGTGGGGACTGGACCCGGGGGAAGGGGCCGATGGGGTGCGGGTTAACCAGGGCCAGGTGGGTGTCCAGCGGCTTCCTAGACCTGGGGTTGGCATGGGAGATGGAGGCGTAAATGGGAGAGGAGGGCGAGTCCTGTGCTGCTGAGGAGGGCCCTGGGGTGGGTGCAGCGCCCAGGGGCGGGCTTCGATTCCGGGGTGCTGAGAAGACAATGCCTGAGTGGGCAGCAGCAGACAGAGGTGCAGGGTCCTCCCTCCCTGGCTTCCGTGTCTGGCCAAGCCGGTGGTCTTGATCTTGAGCCAGTGGTGGCGGGGGAGGAGGTGGCTTGATGCCGGACAGATCTTCTGAGGGAGGTTTCACATCGTCCTGCCAAAAGACCCAACAGGAGTAGAAATCAGAGCCCATGGTGGCCAGAGAGGGACAGCAAACAGTGCTGGACCCCGCAAGGACTCGGTCCCTGCGCCTCAGCTCCCGGCCACACTGTATTGAATAATGCATCGCTCAGTGGAAAACTGCTCCCTACATCTCGGCAGCCGAGGAGCGCCAGGATCTTGGCAGGTGTCTCTGGGGACCCACTGGGTTCCTTTGGGAATTGAAGTTCTTGGCTTCGGCAGGGGCTCATCACGAGTGACAAGACTTAATTAAGGCAGGAGGAAGAAGATGGCAACACAAAACAAGTATTTCCGTGGCAGGAACCATCTGGACGAGCAGAGGTGGGGGAAGGGTGGAGGCACCCGAGGGCTGCAGGGCTGTGTGGCCACGGACAGGGCAAGGTGCCTCTCTGAGCATAGTGCACCCACCAGCAGGTTAGGCAGGGATGAGAGCAGCAGAGCGTACGATGTGTTGACAAGGGGCCTGAGATGCAGTGAGCCTGGTGAGCAGGAGAAATGGACCACAGCCACCAGTTCCCTTTCCTTAGTCCAGGGTCCATGCTTGGAAAGCTCTGGCAGCCATGCAGGCACTGTCTCACTGCTCTGACTGAATCACTTGACTCACTCTGGCCCCAGCTTTGAGTAAGGTGCTCCATTTTCAGCTCCATGTTACAGATGGGAAAACACAGGCACAGAGGGCCTAAGGAGCTCGCCCAAGGCCACACAGGCAGCAGGGAGGCCAGACTAGAACCCAGGCCATCAGCTGGGTCGGTGGGCTCTCAGCAGAGACTCTGTCCCCCCACCCGCTTGTGTCCTTTTTCTGTGGCTATCCCCAAGAAGAGCCCAGGAGTCCAAGAACCAAGCAGGCCTTACCACAGACACATCCGGGAGGGTGTTAACGCTGCCTTGGGTGGTCTCACCGGTTGCCTCCAGGTCTAACGTGTTCTGGAAATGGACAAGAGACAAGCTGAGCAGGCAAGAACTGAGAGGAGAGCCCATCTGTTTCCCAGGGCACAGAATCGAGGACCTTGTGACACCTTCCAATGGCTGAGGTTACCTGGCAGACCCCACTCCGTGGATATTTACCTTACTCACTCAGAGCAATACAGTGACTTTTTCTGTTAGACGCTTGGAAGTGAAATTTTATTATTATTTTTGAGGCAGGATGTCATGTAGTCAATGCTGGCCTCATTTTAAATTTGCTATGTAGCCGAGGATGACCTTGAACTGACTCTCCTTTTATCTACCTCCCAAGTACTAGGATTAGAGGCATGTGCCAGTATGTTCAGTGTATATGATGCTGGGGACTAAACCCACGTCTTTCTGCACAACCAAAAGGCACTCTTCTCAACTGAGCTACATTCCAAGCCGTGAAGTCAATTTCTCTTTGTGACCTCCTGACCATTTTCAGACCCTCCTTGAACTACCTGGAGATGCCGGGGGTGTCTTAGACGTGAGCCTTAAGTGTGGTGCTCCACAGCTTTAGCACCCCCACATCCAGTGACAGAACGCTGGGGGGTGGAGCACACAACAGGCCAATAGCAAATGAGGTGTATATAAGGAAAGGGTGCTGTTCCATGGCTTCAACCCCAAAGGGGTAACTTAATGTATAACTGGATAACATATTACAACATATCCACCTTTTCCTTAATTCTGCCACATTGTGTGTGTGTGTGCGTGCATGTGTGTGTGTGTGTGTGTGTGTGTGTGTGTGTGTGTATGTGTGTGTGTGTGGTGTGCATGTGGGAGGCCTGAAGAGGAAATCAGATTCCCTAGAGCTGGGGTTACAGGCAGCTGTAAACCACCCAGTGTGGGTGCTGTGAACTCAACTCAGGCCCGCTGGAAGAACAGTAAGTGCTCTTAACTCCGAGCCATGTTTCCAGAGCCTCACCCTCCCCCCAGCCTACACTCCCTTAAGTGACTTCATGATGCCAAAAGGCTTTCTCTGGACTCTGGACGAGCAAGGTGAGCTCTTCTGAGGTGGGTTCTTTGGGGGTGGGGGGAGGGGGGGCTACGGGAGCCCATCATCTCCTTCTGCCTCCAGACTGTCAATGAGACTGCACCCTGTGTTCACCTGGCTAGATTAGGGGATGCCTACATGGCTGGTAAGTGTGATTTCTCTGTGCCTGTGGGGACGTTTCTGAGAGAAATCAGCCACAAACATCATCCTCCCCACCGTGCAGCCTCAGTACCCACCACAGCCCCAGAGGAACGCCACAGTGGAGGGGGACTTCAAGGGATGCCCACTTTCTCCCGCCTCATGGTCTGCTTTTTCCTTCTGCAATGTTAGGGTTGAACCCAGGTCCAGACCAGTACAGCACAGCCCAGTGCTGCGTCTCACCAAGCCCTTCACCTACCCTCCCACACCGGGACTGCTGCTTCTCAAGCTGAGCTGGATAAAACAGCCATATTGGGCCTCTAGCTGGTAGACGGAAGTCCTGGGACGTCCTATGGTCTCCTGAGTGTTGTCCTCATGAGACCTCATCTTCCTGTGTTTTAGAGTAATCCTGTAGGTTGCTTCCACGGACAACGCTGGCTGATGCAGGCACCCAGACCTGCTCAAGTCTCCAGTGAGCCATCCGTGCTGAATGAACAGTCCCCAAGGCTCTGGACCCAGCAGCTAGGGCTGGAGGTGAGGCATCATCCTGCCTGAATGTGTGTATGTTGTGTGTGTGTGTGTGTGTGTGTGTGTGTGTGTGTGTGTGTGTGTGTGTGTGTGTTTAGACCTCAGAGGGCATCACATGGCTATCAGCATATAGTACACTTGGGAGAGCAGCAACCAAGGAAGGCTTCCTAGGGATGGACACTGGGTCTGACTGTGAGCAGCAAGCCATGTTTCAGACCCTGGGAATTGTGTGTGCATAAACAGGGAAGAACACAGAGGATGCTTGAGAATTTTCTGCCAGCTCTTGGTCATGCTTGGACTTGAGCCTGAGGGCAGTGGGTTGCCTCGGAGATGAGGTCAAGTTTGCTTTCCACGAAGAAGATTCCATTTGCTCATGTCCCCTCCTGCCAAGCAGGAGCGCTGCAGGAAGTGTGGCTCGCTCTTCTCACTAGCCATTGTCTTGGTTGGGCTGTAGACACGCTCCACTGGCTCCAGGTCACCTCCGGCTCGGGCCTACCTGAGCAACCCACCCCTCCCCTTGTCCCATTTTCCTTTTCTCTCACTCATCACGGCTCCCTACCCAACAGCCAGACAGTCCTTGGAAAAGAAATCAAGTAATGGACACCCCCAGTCCAAGCAAGGCCCTGGGGCCTTAACATGTCACTTGGGAGGAATTCCAAGCTCACTGTTGACTACACAGCCTGGCCCTTTCTTGCTACTTCTCCGGTATCATCACACCCGCCCCAGGGCCTTTGCACTAGATGTCTTGCCACCTGCACCATTCATGACTCACTTCCACCTTTCCTTTGGTTCTCATGGCTTGGGGCCTCCCCGACCAGCCCTGATAGCATCATCCATCTATCCTGACCTGGTCCACTTTTCCGTACACAGGTCACATGTGGCCGCGCTATCTCTTCTTCCTACTGGGTATAAACTAGGGCAAGACTTAGGCCACTGTGACTTCAGTGCTCAGAACCGTGGCTGCTGGGTCTACCAGGTAAACAAATGGATGAGTCTATGTCAGTGAATGGATTGCTTGGTTTAGCTGCTGGGGGGCAGGGGCTGAGCATGCTGGGAGTTGGTGAGGAGGTGCTGTGTTCTTTGTAGGGGCCGGTAATGATGGCTGGAACAAGGGGGAGGCATAGTTGTAGACAGAAGGTCCTGAGGCAGAGCCTCCTGAATATAGATTCCTTCCCCAGAAGCTTCAAGTATTCTGGGGTGACAGGGGACATGTGTTTGCAAAGGCCAGGGAGGAAGCCACAGATGGACAGGACGCTGGGTCCTCTTTGTAGGTCACCTCTGAGGTTTTCTTGAGCTCACATCCCGCTCTGCCTCTTACGGCTGTGTGACAACAGGCAAGTCATAAGCCTCTGTGTGCCATGTAAAATGGCTAGCCGACCATGTCCTGCAGCTGATCCACTAAACCCTCGATGGCTCTTCCCACAGGGCCTGACACTGTACCTTGGAAGGTTTCCCTCATTAGAAATCCAGGAAGCCTTGCAAACTGTCCCCAGAGTGAAAGGCCTACCAAGTAAGTAAGTCTACTGTGGCCCCTGAGGGTGAGCTCCTCAGAGAGAAAGGTCATGGAGCTTTCTCATAATCCCTTACCGATTGTCATGAGCATAGTGCTCTCTGGAATTATCTCTGGTGGATGGGCATCAGAGACCCCCTCCTGCCTGAGGTGAGTGACAAGGCCAGTTTGTCCATGCAGGTCCTTCCCAGATGCAGAATTCAGGAAACCCACGGTGTCTACTCTAAGGACAAAAGCAGCTTCTGCCATGGGCCCACATGGCCAGTGTCACCTGCTGCAGAGGATGCTGGGGGAGCAGGTGAGGCTCAGCTGACTGGAATTGGGCAAACCTGCCCTGTTCTGGGGCACTAGGAACCTGGAGCATCATTCAGTCATTCAGCAAACACTGACCATGATTTAGGAGCGAGGGTGGGAAGGTTTGAGGGTCATGAAAGGTCAGGCGAGAATTAGGTGCCTGGCTCTTACCCAACCTTACTGTGTGTACTTTCCCATGGCCCTGAGGCAGGCGCCATGGCTCTTCCCCATCATCTGTCACATCTCCTGTAATTGTAGATCTAGAGGAATGTGACAGGTCCAAGGATGCATGGACATTGTCCTGGCTAATTTTATGTCAACTTGACACAGGCTAGAGTCATCTGAGAGAAGGGAACCTCAATTGAGAAAATGCCCCTATAAGACTGGGCTGTAGGCAACCCTGTAGGGTTTTTTTTTTTTTTTTTTTTTTTTTTTTGGTTTTTCGAGACAGGGTTTCTCTGCGTAGTTTTGGAGCCTGTCCTGGATCTCGCTCTGTAGACCAGGCTGGCCTCGAATTCACAGAGATCCGGCTGGCTGTGCCTCCTGAGTGCTGGGATTAAAGGCGTGCACCACTGCCGCCTGGCCTCTGGGGAACTTTTTAAATTAGTGATTGATGGGGGAGGGCCCAGTCCATTGTGGGTGGTACCATCCCTGGGCTGGTGGTCCTGGGTTCTATAAGAAAGCAGGTTGAGCAAGCCAGTAAGCAGCTCTCCTCCATGGCCTTTGCATCAGCTCCTGCCTCCAGGTTCTTACCCTATTTGAGTTCCTGTTCTGACTTCCTTCAGTGATGGCCTATGAATGTGGAAGCATAAGCCAACTAAACCCTCTCCTCCCCAACTTCCTTTTGGTCATGATGTTTCATCATAGCCATAGTAACCCTAAGACAGCCATTCTGTAGTAACTTGGGTAACTAAGCCAGGTCTGCGTCACACCACCCTGGAATTGGACAGAGCCCAGGTGTTTCAGGTGGAAGAGGATGAAAGTGGAGCACACAGCAGGCAGCTGGTTGGAGCACAGTGAAGTGCAGCCAGGCTCCATCTGCCAGATCCAGACACTCTGGAGCCCGAGTCCCCAAGTCATGTTCCTTATACATCTGAAATAGCTGCAGCCAGCCCAACCAAGAAGTAGGGCAGTGCCAGCAGAACCCAAAGAGCAGGCATCAAGGTCCAAGGCCACAGTGCACGTCTGCATGTCCTGGATACTGTATCCCAACCCCAGCGCCTGCTGCTTTCCCCATGCCCTTTGGGGCTGACTCCCCTTCAGTTCTACAGCCTAGCCTGAGGCTCAGAGAGGGTTCCAAGTCACCCAATCAGGGTGGAGTGCTTCCCATTCAAGCCTACAGGTATTTAAGTTCCTATCCCATTGTCTCCACCCTCCTCAGGGTTGCGGGGTTGCAGAATAGTCCCTCCCTTACATTTGAGTTGGTACAACAAGGATCCAGATTCTCACCCCTCTGACTTGGAGCAATGGAGGAGGGGAAGAGGGAAAGTGAAATGAATGACCAGGAGCTGTCCT